CTCTCAACATAGATGGACACTTACTGCATATTGCTTCACATGACTCGGAAGACATTACAGCCTTGTCTTTCTACATGATTACTTGATACTTTTAATTTAGCCCAAGCAAACTGAGAATATCCTATGATAAACCTTGGATTCCTGAAAACATAAGATAGTTTTTATTTAAACTGCAAAAACTTCAAAAACAGAAACATTTTATTTATTAGTTATATTCTTCTACAGTCAACTCTTCCGGCAGAAAATCTCAAAGCTAACTGCTAAAAGAAGAAACCTAAAATATCCGACTTCACTAAAGTACCCCGTTAAAACTACAAGACGATAAAATATTAACATTAAAACAAAACATTCGTCCTCTCTGCGTGAAGCAATATGTTCATCTCCCCCTTTCACTCCCGTTTCTCGTCAACTAAACACGCAGAAAACGAACAACAACTTAATCTCATCATAGCATGATAGTATAACGCACATCCATACAGCCATATGAATGCTTAAATGTGTGTGCAGGAGTTCATGTAAATAACAAACATGAACAACAAGAGATGCATACTTGAGATGATTCGGAGCTCGACGTAGTGCCCACATGGTCAATCAGAAAGTTCCGCGCAAAGTTAGTAGAACACTAGGATGAAAGCCTAAGCAAATGGACTCGAATAGTCTGGATAGACGACACAGGTTTTTTAGGATGTGAAGGGATCGATACAGGAATGAGCTCTTAAACCCTAAAAACCCTGAGAGGTTACTGCTTTAGAATGAATTCATTGCAATTTAAGCCCAATGTCGCGTTTTCATAAAAGGCCCCATAGTTTCTGTAATTGTATCTTTACCTATTCAGTTTTGGATAATTGCTTTAAAGCCCTTGTAAATTTCTTTTTTCTTCCAAATGAATATTTGTGAAATTATTTTTAAGAAAAAATTATCTTTAAAATCCTTTCTTTTGTAAAATAAAAGGGAGACAGAGCTTATAAATATATTATCATTTATTAAGAAAGAGAAAATAGATCATCAACCAAAGAAAAATGAATTTCATTTATTTCTAGTTTTATAAAATATTATATCTATTTATTATATATATTTTTCTATTATTTATTATATATATAAAATACTAACAACAATAAATTATAATTGTAAAGATTATGCCAGACATAAATCTTTATTATTTATTTAATAAATCTATAATATTTATTTTTAAAATTTTAAATTAAAATCAACTTGGCTAACTAAAAAAATTATGTTAAATATTGTATTATATATTTTTATTGAAATTATAATTTCTATATTAAAATTATATTAATAGTTGAAGTAAAAAAAGGTCTACATGTTATGGTTATATAAATTACAAATACTATTGGAATTAAAGTTATATAACTACAATTTTATTAAATTGAAATACAAAAATTATAAATTTGTTAACTGTTTAATTTGAACTTATATCGAAATTTTAACTTGCTGCTTAATGGAAAATTTTATTTATTATAAAAAAAAAGTTAATGAAATATTCGAATTAATTTTTTAAAATCATAAGATATAATTTTTTTTTTTATTGCGATTCATATTAAACTAATTTCCATCGAAGCTAGAAAGCTTGTATAAAAAAAACT